CGTCGGATAATTTGATTAGCTATCGGTGGGCGAGAACCGTCCCCTTAAGAGGTAATCCTATTTTATAGGTAGGCCCTTTAATCTGATGGATGCTAGGTGTTTTATATTGGTCGTTTCTGATTGTGTTTTGTGTTTATTGGTTGTTACATCGAGTGTATTTAAATGACAGTCATAATCAATTATTGATATGTTTTATCATACGAAAGCTATCAATTTAAAATTCACTTTATCTATTGTGATACTGTATTTTAAGATATCTTCGACTTATTATGCACTTATAAATACTTTCGTTTCACGTTTTCTTGGTATAATGTATTTCATGTTAATACAATAGTTGTTGATTGCACTTAGCATAATTTATATACCAATTTAAAGTATGTAGCGTAAAATTCTCCCCTCCATCAGCTAAGTGTAATTATAGGTAAAAAAGCAAGGGTTGCGGAGTGGCCATGTTGAGAAAAGTGACGTCATTAGTACGCTGTTGACACAACCCGCCTTCTGACGTGAATGGCGAGGCTAAACTGGATATATGGGCGTGTTTCCAATATGGAACCAGGTACTTTTGCTGGTTTTCAAAAATAAATGTAGTTTTTAAAAAGCAAAAATGATTATATACAAATGCTGGACATTTAGATAACTATACAAGACTAATTACATAATATTTTCATGTTGACGCAGATTTTCTACTAGAAATTCTATCACTACGAACGACAAACGACGGTTTAAAATTACCAGCTCTCAAAAAAAGAACGCCTTCGAAAAAAGAGAAATAAAAATTATTTCAAATCGCACAAGTGTCCAGCCAGTTCTACCAACACAAAAAGCTTCTGATAAATTAAAACAAGCTTTAAATCTCAATTTGCCGACACAGGGCGGTTTCTATAGGCTTTTGTGGCGTATGTCCATTTCCGACAACTCGAGCCTTTGAATAAAGTAGCTGTCAAAGAAGCCGATGTCAAAATTCTTTGGCATTCACAAGTTGGTAAAGAAAACAGAAATGGTAAAAAAAGAAAATGAAAAGTTTTTGCTCAGTCGCGCTCGCCTGGTACTGGGCGAGCAGATGTCCTAGACTTAATTGTAATTCGATTTCAATTTTTATTTATTACTCCAATGAAAAATATAATACAAGTATTTCCTCAGAAAACATTATATTTAACATTTATGATTCTTATCGTCGATATTTTTTAAATTGAAGAAGTACTGTACATACATTACAATCCTATTACCAGCTGCCTAATCAATACAATTCTGCATATACATATTTCTCTCCTAAATTATATTCAATTTTCACCACCAACCACACCCAAGTGGGAAGCTGAATCCAAAATCATAATAGCACTACACAATAAACACCCCCGCAACATTTGATATCCATTCTTATTATTTTTATTTTCGATTTATTGTCGTGAAAAACGGTACAATTTCTATACACAATCGTTAGGGTTCGTGATCCCCTGCCAATTAACATTGGACACGGTGGTCAGATCTGTGTCAAAGTTAGACACATTTTTTGCCACGAACGACACACGGCAATCAATATACATCAATCTTAAATATTCTAAATGTAAATACAAAGTTTCAGCGCTCCACGAAAACCGTTAGAAGCGTTTCGCAAATTAACACAGTGATACAATTCGCGGCGGCGGGGACAAAATGTAATTAATAATTAATGCAACGAACGGCCAAGTAGAAACTTTGCTAACACAGAAGTTACTTCTGTCGCGCGGCGTGACCTTTTCTGTGAAAAAACAAACGCTGAGATATAACTGGCATGTTACGGCGTGTGTAGTAACGAGCTAATTTAAACTTTTCGGTCTCTCAGTCCTTTCGGAGGGTGTCTCCCTTCTCGTCACCTGAGGCGACTGTCCTTGGTTAGACGGCACTTTTCAATAAAACAGAAATAAAATGCACGCGCCTCTCATATTGATTTTTAGTTGAGAATAATAATTGATTCCACTTTAAATTCGTACAGGTTTTTTTGAAAAGTTTTAAATTGAATTGGAAAGTGACATGTCTTTTAAAACTCATGACAAGATTTAATCTTATTTTCCTCAAAATAAAAATATAATTTATTTTGACATTCTCTCGATAAACCTAGTTTTATATATGAATCATATTCAATGAAGTATCCGCATTATGAAAATCATATCAATCACGGAATACATGACATATACATAAACTACAAAATAATAAAGCTACAAAACTGATCAATTTAAACCACTCAAAACCAAAGCACTCCACCCTCGATATAGATAACCATAAATCACTTGTAACGTGAAAATCAAATATTTATGTGGGTGTAAAGTTTTTGTCCACACGGCGCATGTATGGTGACCACTGTCCAGTAGCGGGGCAGTGGGTGGGGCTTGACGTTTACCCGAGTTGACCCACAGTCCAGATAAGTTTCCACGTAAATTGATAGGGTTCGATTGTGTAAACGTTTATGTATATTATGTATTTATAAGGCTTTTATGCGGTGAATTTAGAAAGGGTTTAGTGGTGTGATGTGCGTTAGAACTCAAGTCGTGAAGCAATAATGTACCTATTATGTTCGAAGATTGTTCGTTGCATAAGTGTAGTGGAATCGAACATCGCTGCATTAGTACCCATATCTAGGAGTCTAGAACGAGGCTAATATCTGTGTGTTCTTACATCGCACGAAATATTTTCTCAACAAACTTTAACATTTTCCATTGAATAGTCAACACACGACAGTATGACTAAGCGTTGTTTGAACAGGCACAGGATACAACCACCTCTACTTCCCCAGGAAGTGTTCCCATTTGCCACGAGCCATCACCTTTACAAATCTGTAAAAAATTAACATCAATAACGCGTGCATTTACATAATATACCCTCTAAACAAACTAGGTACGCCAGTACAAACAATGGTCGTCGAATCACGTAGTTTTTTTCACCATATTAATTTAGAACTCGGGTTACAATGCAATACAACCCCCGTAGACATTACAGCGCTGCCTTCCTTACAAAGAAATGGAAGGAAAAAATAATAATAACAAGAGAGTTTGAAAGAAGAATGTAAGGGCGTCTACACAGTACTTATGTGAAATTAGCTCGCGAACGCGCTTTGATGTGCCGACCAATTGTTCGTGCGAAAATGCCTTTATAATCCGGCGCGAGCGTGTCTTGAGTTGGGCTGCTATTTATATTAGGACGATGTCAATTAATATGTAAGATGTTAATTATGTATGTGAGGGGTAAGACTGTCTTCGTCTTCGTGTTGCTATGAAGTAATACGTATAGGTATACAATAAATAAATAGCTTTAACTCGGTGCAGGGCATGGCTAATAAATAAAAACTGTCTGATAAATATTCTCCGGGAAAAATATTTTAATTTATATTATGTATAAATAGAATAATAAAAAAAGTATGTAATAATGAATTCGATTTGGCCTCGAAAGTGTCCATAATTAAGTGTGTTAAGCTCTACGAGTAGCATGTTCTAAGTAGTTTCAATTTGTAGGTTTCCTGGTAAGCTGAATTCGTAGAAATTATTCGAGTGGAGCTATTCACTTCGTTTGATAGAATCTAAGTAGTTAGTTAAAGTCTTCATAAGATGGAATTTTCCAAGCTTTTCCCTGATTATTGTGATTATTGTCGTTTCCTTAACACTTCACGACGGTTTTTTCCACATACTACTACTCATGTATGTGTGTGTGTGTTATGTCCATTTAGTTTTTTGAGTAAAACTTGATACTATATATCTGCCTAGTGCATATGTGCAATTTATCTACCGCCGTAATAAGTTCCCGATCAACTGATATGGCAGATAGTTGATACAAATAACATTCTGAATTCAAATTAATCTAATACTAGCTACTGCCGCGTGTTTACACTGCTCGGCTCCATTTAATCGTAGCGTGATGTTTTATAGCCTATAGCATTCAGGAATATTGTAGCTATCTATCAGTTAAGGATTTTGGAAAGCCGACCAGCGTTTCCAAAGATTACCCCCTACATACAAACTTACAAATTTTACCTCTTTATAATATTAGTATAGACAATCTGGCTATCCGAACAAATACTAAATTCCAGAAAAAAATAATATAAAATAGATTCATCACTAACAAACGAACAGTATGAGACTAAAAACTAAATTAAAGTTTACACATATCTCAAGAACTACTTTCTACTAGTTAAACCCCAAACTAATATAATTACAGTATCTATACCATTCATAAATATTTTGAATCAAAAACATAATTGCTATCTTACACCTCAACATCTGTTACAAAAAAATCGATTAACTTTCTTGTCCCAACAAAGAAATAACCCTTTAAAAACGGACCACAGAACAAGACGATTATTATGGGTCTTTTGTACCCAGATAAGCGGTCAACCCTACAACTGACACCTCAGATACCGTGACTGGTACAACATGTAATTAAGTGTAATTTAACACTTAAAATATTGAAAGAAAGTGTCATTGCCCATATGCTGTGGACGAATGTTGTGAAGTATTTTTTTTATATAAATAATTGCCTTCACAATTCTGTCTTTTGAAAACTGTGTCACGTTTAACACCAGTCGTTTCAATGGTTAATATTTTGCGGTTTTAAAACTTTATTCATTCATTTATACAATGATTTAGAATTTTTTTTATTGGTTAAAATCATAAGAATTCTATCTATACATTTTCATCCACGACAGCTAAATAATTGAAATGAAACTAAATAATTGAACTAAATACTAACTGCTTCTGATTTTCGTCAATATTCCACGATTAACTACAAATGTGATTAAATACACTACAGAGTCCAATGAAACATTTTGGACTAACAAAACGATCCACAATTAATAAAATATTCTATCTTTTATCATATTTATAAATTCATTAAAATCAACTTACTACAAAAATCACAAATATGGGTAGCTCAAATATATATCCAATTCAGTATCTATATCATCTCCCAGTGTATTTCTCCATCATCATCATCATCATCAGCAAAACGGATATCAAACTATGTTCTTCTTTCAGCGGATGCGGACAGCGCGGCAGAAGGTGGCGGGTCCCCCGTACCAGGGGTGCCTGCAGACACCCTGACCTGCGGAGCCTGTCGCAGGGCCTTCGCCCTTGCAGACATTGTACGCTTCATTCAACATAAAGTATCCTCCTGTGATAAGGATCTCACGTCCTACCACTGTTATAGTGCTGGTAAGTTGTATTTCAATGTTCAGAAACTATCCTATCAATGTTCAGAAATATTTTGAAAATTTGTAAATTTTTATGGAACACAAATCCATATTAAACGCAGAAAAACTTGACTAAAATAGAATTACAGTTATAATTTGATCTTTTATTGTGTCAGTAGCATTAGTAGCAACAATTACATGTTATACCATTTTTACCCAATCGTAGGACCGAATTCCGATCCCGAAGATGGTTCAAGACCAGGCCAGGTCTCGAGCGGGAGTACCAGCGCGCGGAGGCCATCGCTTCTCACAGCAAGAAGGCCTCCAAGCAGCAGAGTCCATACTCCTCCCCTCGCCAGTCCTTCTATGGCACCTCCCGACCTTTTAGAAGACGGAGGAGCATCTAGCACACCTAAGAGGCTTTTAGATGGTAAGATATTGATAGCTTTATCAAGAAAGATGTGTTTAAGGAATCAAAATTTTAAATTCCATTTTGACCTTGGTCTCCAAATAAATCTACGTTTTCTATATCAATATTTTTTCGTCCTAATAGGCGATGTCGAAGTTTCAACGCCTAAAAGGCGAGCGTCAACATCACCGATGCCATCAAGTTCCCCGGACGAAGACATTAAACCGAAGATCAAACAAGAACACATGGACACCACAGGGTCACCTGAAGACCAAAAGAAATCTAGGACTGAAGTTGCCGACGCAGAATCGAATACTATGCATAGTGGTAAGTCACAATTTGATAATCATTTTTCACAAACAGGTTCTTGGAAGAATTGTTTTAGTTTATACATGTTCGGGCCTAGGGTGCACTAAATCAAAAATATAATCGCGAAGTTAAAATTAAAATATCTAATGATTTCTTCAAATTTTGGTTACAATCTGTCTTGATGCATTTTAGTATTAGCTACAGCTAACGATAGCAAAAAAGTAATAAGAATAGGTCGATAAAGTTTGAAGGATCTTGCAGTAGCATTCTATTCTTACTGCGTACAACATCTTCAGCCTCGATTTCAATAACACATCATCTCTTAGACCAGAACAATTCCATCTATGACTCAACCAACCGAAAAATTCCTTAACCGACGACAAGGAAAAGACACGTGCGACTGAATGCCATTTTTACACTGAAACTCATGTCATCGGCATGACGGTCCAGTGTTTATTATATTAATGATTCTTTCTGAGCTTCAAAGGATTCTTTGGAGACAATTTTATCGCCACGATACGACTTTGTCACGTAAGATGTTGCACAATGACAATGTTGGACAATCGTATAGTTTCTGCTGCGTCATCGCCCGTCCATACATTTAAGATTGGAACTTAATCCTGTTTCTGCTAACAGGATGTTTCGAATTGTGCCATTCTTATTTTAATTCTAGTTTGTGAATGGAGGTTGAATATTATTTTAGTATTTTTTTTAATCTGCATCTTCTAGCTTGTATTTTACATTGATTAACCTTTTCACTTAGGACCTAAAATAATTTTGCCAGCAAATCGCTTTCCTTTAAATTGTTTAAAAATGAACTCGCTAATCCTTAAAACTGTTTCAATAAAACGTAGAATAAATAGAACCGGAGGTTCAGTTGAACATCTGTATAAGCGAGCAATCTTGCGGGGGTGGTTCGAGAAATAATCTATCCGAGACTAACCCTTTGTGCGACCAGATGTGCTGTCATTTGACACTTTTGTATTAAACCCGTTGCACAACAAAGCCTTCCTTAAACCCGAAAATTGTGCACCGTTCAAAATTTTCGACCCGCATTCTGTCAACTGCTTTATTACATAACAACTTACAAAGGATAAAGAAAAAAATATATAATATTAAATTGCTACTGTTTTGGTCTTTACATAATACATTAGCGGTTCAAACTGGAAACACTATCTAGATCTGTCAGTTTCTTGTCTGTTGATCTGTGATGTTTAAGGAAAAGATAGTAAGTAAATAATATAGTTAGACTGCGCTATTTATAATACTGTCCCACTCTGCCAATGCATGATATTGCATCTTTATATAGCAATCACCAGCCACTCATCCTACTGATAAGTAAAGGCCAACCTTTTTGTACATGTCGATAAAAATATCATCCGATTACTAGGTACAAAAAGTTCACTTCGATAATCCAAAAGATATGAAACGTCATTGTTCTATCTGGACACTAAATATGACGTTATTGCGTGACTGTACCGGGGTTGCGCTATCGAAGTGTCAATTGCAGGTTGGCTTCAGCACCGGTTGTTTCGGATTATTGAGTTTATCCTAAACGTTCATATTAACCCTTTCCACTGAGCTGTCAGACCAACCAGTTCTGTTTTACTACGGGGCCCCATCACAATAAAGTAATAGCAATATATTAAATTGATAACAAAAAACAATAGTAGCGAGTCCATAAATCCACTCGACTTTTAAAACCGCATTCATAACGGAAGCTTATTGTCAAAACAAGAACATAATTCTAATGGTGACAGTAAGTCGCGACCTCGTGCCAACTTAAAAAAGGGATCTTAATTTTAATTGTATTATTCCGTACATATTAATTAACCCCATCGCTGTACGAACAGATAAAGGGGATGATTTAGGAGAAAAAAATTATTTGCATGAGCACACGATTGACGCACGCGTATTGTTGTCATCTGCCTTTTGTGATGACCCTTACATTAACCGTGGCCGCGCAAATGACTAAAGAGCTCATGTTTATGAATATTCTTTTAATATTCAACCTTTACACATTGTTGTTAGAGTTCAATGTCGTATTTTATCGGATGGGCGTTAATGGCGCACCGTGTACCGATGGCTACGATATTATAATTGTCAAAGATGCTACCGAGGTTCCATTGTTAGAAACGGTCTTTTATAATTTTTTCAAAGATAAAAAATGTTTGGCGTGTTCCTGACACGTGGTACACGCTCATGCGTTCGCCGTGACCTATGGAACTCCTTTAAGCGTGACACAATGCTGGTAGATATTTTTAGTTTTTGTATAAACGGGAAGGTGGCTAAGTGGCGGGTTTGGAATAAGTGGGTTTTAATTTTAGACATGACGTCTGCGACTTTGTGAAATGTGAGGGGAAGTTTGTCTCGTGACTATCGCGTGTCCTTTCAGTTGGGAACGTATTTAAGAGTTTAACGTTTTCGAGTAGTTCCTTCAATTGTAAACTGTTTTAATTCCGTTAACGTGGCATTAAAAGTCAACAAAGGTTCTATGACGGAAGATCCGTGTCCACAATGTCAGTGTATGAAAGTCATTAACATAACAAAACGTTGGTGAACCGATGGCCGTCAGTTGTTTGTATCAAAACAAATATTGTATCAAGTGTGGATCGAGTCCAGTGTTTGGTCGTCTTTGTTTGCTTTACGAATTAATGAAGGATTGTCGGAGCGTATACCATGTTCCATATTCATGTTATGACTTATACAAAATGTACAAAACTGTATCATTTTTCTATTCATTCGTTACCCCTGCGTGGCAGTAGCAACTTGACAAATTTTATTTTAGAAGAGTTGCTTTTTTTGTCTTTATTCAATGACTTTTAAAATGGAGCATGGACAATGATAGCCGTATCGATTTCTTCAGGACCCCAGATAAAATTATCGTTTTAACCCGACGTGCACGGTCTAGCGCACCTCAAAACGGTCAGCTGCTGGCTGCTGCGGCCCAAACAACCGACGCTTTTTACTTGCCCACTCGCGCGAAATAAACGTCAACAATGAGTTTGAAGCGGACAGCGGGGCTGTACTATCTGTGAACTAATTACGCATTCATAGACCGTACTTCTGATAAATGATCGCCCCCGCAAATGATTCCTCGATTAACTCCCGTCCAAGATATTTCCATATCAAGACATGTTTTCTTAAGGGTCGACCACAAAAGGGCCATCTCGGCGCCCAATCTTTAATCCTATCTCGGGGACCTTTGCGGGCGAATTTAAATTTCTTTAGAAATATCGTCCTTATTATGTACGTGCGGGTTTCTATTCCTTGCGACGTTCGTGGGCGAGATAACGTAAGTTAAGTCCGAGAGGAGATTGTTGTGAAAAAAACTACCGCTAACTTTGACGAGATCCCATCTGCTGGCTGCTGTCCATTCGACTTTGATCCCTAACACTGGATTCATAAATTCAACTTTCGTATGAGAGATTTTGGATTAGTAGAACCTTATTTTGTATATGAGGTGATAAGTCTTTATGAGGGGTCAACCTTTTCTATAGTGAACCTCACCCTTTTAGTGAAAAGAGTCCGTTGATAGCTGATTTAGGAATGGTGATAATGCATTCAGTGTGTGTAAATATATCATAGATTTATTTTATGATAGATTGCCTCTCGACTCAGCCGTTGAGTCTGGTAGATTTTTGGGAGTGTGTGGTTGTGGGTGTGTGATGCGTGAGTTAGGAATTTTAAAGGATTGCGGTGCATTGTTATGTGGTGCAGTGTGCAGTTGAATAGCTGTCATATTTGCTTTGTAGCCGCCGTCCACGTGGGGTCCGCTGTGACCGTTTGCGGAATTCGTTTAATTAAAATTTGCTATCCGATTGATCATAGCTGTTCGTATGTGAAGCTTAATGCGACTAATTAGTCGAGGTATGCCCTATATGGTATTCTGATCATAGAGATTTGGATTCTATACCCAGGAATAAATGTAATACATCATACATACATACATACAATAGATAAGTGGAAACCGTTTATTTATATTTGGACAGCGGATTTTTTTTTGTATACATAGTCTGGCCATATATACTGTTACAATTAAAAATAAACAAAATATTACATTTGAATTTGGAATCCGTCATTTTATATAATTTTTCATTGTGTTTTCTTATTTTGGCGCCAATAAATTGTTCAATATTTTGCGATATTAAAATGGAGTGGGGTGATAAAGAGAACCGAATCGCTGTGATTGCATTACACAAAGTGGGTATGGAGCCAAATGCAATTTTTAAAACTCTCCACACGCTTGGCATTAGTCAAATGTTTGTGTACTATTAATATGTACAATGAGACCTCCTCTGTTTGTGACAGAAAAAAATCTGGCCGTCCACGTAGTGTTCGTACGAAAAAGGTGGTCAAAGAAAAGAAAGCAAAAGATTTTATCTCGGGAGATGAAGATAACACCTAGAACCATGTCGTGTATTTTAAAAGACGACTTAGGACTTGCAGCCTATAAGAGTCGCACTGGACATTTTTTAAATGATAATTTAAAAAAGAATAGGGTGATAAAATCTAAACAACTACTGAAGCGGTACGCAAAGGTAGGTCAAAGAAAAATTTTGTTTACGGATGAGATTTTTTTTTAAATTCAACAACATTTTATCAAACAAAATTACCGTATGCTCAAAGCTCTAAGGAAGCTTCTCAATTAGTCGACAGAGTGCAACGTGGGCATTATCCGACTTCAGTGATGGTTTGGTAGGGTGTTAGCTATGAAGGAGTGACTAAGCCATACTTTTGCGAAAAAGGTATCAAAACATCGGCACAAGTGTATCAAAATACCATTCTTCAGAAGGTAGTTAAGCCCTTTAACAACACCATGTTCAATAACCAACAATGGTCCTTTTAGCAAGACTCGACGCCGGGTCATAAAGCTCGGTCCACGCAGTTTTGGTTGGAAACGAACGTTTCCGACTTCATCAGAGCTGAAGACTGGCCGTCGTCTAGTCCCGATCTTAATCCACTGGATTATGATTTATGGTCAGTTTTAGACAGTAGGGCTTGCTCTAAACGTCATG